CTCTCTCTCTCTCTCTCTCTCTCTCTCTCTCACTCCCCCACTCATTCTCTCTCAAAATAAATAAACTTTAAAAAAATACAAATACTTCTGTATTTATAATCAGGGCTCTCGAACTGAACTCGTCACTGCGGAAGCCCTTCCCTACACCCTCCTGTTCCAGTAAGAACCTCTTCACCCACCTGATAAGTAAGTTCTCCTGACTGTATAGTAACCACTTCCTTGTAGTTTTGATGATCTATCACTGACATGTACACCCAAGGTTTAGTCATTAAAAAAGTTGATATGTACATTTATGTCTCTTTTTGGACTGTGGCCATTTTGTTTATAATTGTTATAAAACACCCAAAATTTACCACCCCAACCATCTTCAAGTGTATACTTCAGCAGCGTTAATCCCGTTCCCACTGGGCAGCTCATCTCCTAAACTCTCTTCATCCTGCAAAATGGAAACGGTCCCCATTAAACAACAAGCCCCCCATTCAAGCCTTTTTGAAAAATGTTTATTTATTTTTGAGAGAGAGAGTGCAGGGTAGAGGCAGAGAGAGAGGGAGACAGAGAATCCTAAGCCAGTTCTGTGCCGAGAGCGACGAGCCTGATGGCGGGGCTTGAACCCCTGAACTGGGAGATCATGACCTGAACCAAAGTCAGACGCTCAACCCACAGAGCCACCCAGGCGCCCCTTTTAAAAAAATCTTACACATTCATGGATTTTAACACATTTAATGGGTTTCGGTTCAGTGCGATCCATACCAGTGATGCTCACATTGTGTCACCTTTGGATCACGTCAGCCTCTTCCGAGTCGAGTCCTTGGGCATGACCTCAGGGTCTTGGGCGGCTGGTGTTCCAGGCTCATCTTAGATATTTCTTGCCCCAGACCTGGAATCAGCCATTTCTCCAAAAAGCCCTATGTCCTCAGTGAGAAACTGCCCTCAAAGACAGTAGTCGGGTGCTTGATACTTCTGGGTGGTCACCGTTCCCAGGCCTTTTCAGGAGATGGGACCAAATAGCGAGACCGGTAGAGACAGAAGGTAGAAAAGCCCGGAGTTCGTACTGATGTTTCCGGTTCCACAGCCAGACGAGCGAGTCTTTCCATTTACTCTTTTCTCTCACATCTGCATCTCCTTCCTCCCATGAATCTGGTTCTCAAGCTGCGCAGAAGTAGAACATCCCAGACGCCCTCGTCTTCCCTCGTGTTACACACGTAACTAACCCTAGAGGCCGATGCTGTCACCACTGATGCGGGTGAGCGCACGGCGGGTATTTTGCACGTGCTTTCCTCGCCCTCCCCGTGCCACGGTTTTGTGCCGCGGCCGCGTCTGCGCTGTCCCGGCGGGCAGCCAGCCCATGCCGTCCTCTCCCCTGCTCGGCCCTTGTTTGTCATTGTCCTCTTGGCAGCTGCAGAGAGGATGCTTCTCCTTGCCCGAGGCCTATTCTCTGGCGGAGTCCACAGGGAAGGCTCGTGTTGATAAAGTCTTATTTGTGCTTTTGGTACGTGACACTTAGTTTTGATGATTATAAAATCCTTTGTTCACATCTCCTTGTCATTACTCTGTTTTCTTCTGACGTACAGTTGCCAGGTTTATAAAAACAAGATGCACCAAATGTTACATGGGACAGTCTTGCACTAAGAGATGATTTGTTGTTTATCTGAGATTCAGATTCACCTGGGCACCGTATTCTTCTCACGGTCTATTCTGGCGCAAACACTTCTTGTTCAAGGCCAACGTTAACCTCATTTTCTTTCCTCTTGTGTGACGTGTGTGGGGTTTTTTTATTGTTTTGTTTCGTTTTCAGACATCCAGAGGGTTTCTTCTTTATTTCTAAAGTCCAGTAATTTTACTCGAATGCCCTGATGTTGGTCACTCAGGGTCAAGCAC